AATCGGCAGCCCGCCCCCCCCCGCCTCCTCCCCCTGCCGGACCTGCCACCGCGGCTCCTGGGGCCAGCGCTACTACCAAAAAGATGGGCGCCCCATGTGCGACGCCTGCTACCAGGTACCCGTCCTCCCTCGGGGACAACCAGCACCCTCGGGGGGGGGGTGGCGGGAGATGCAGTCCCTCGCGGGGGGAGCTGGCATCTCACGGTGTGTGTCCCCAAACCCCAGGCCACGCTGGAGAAATGCGCCAAGTGCCAGGGGCTGATCGTGGAACGCATTGTCCGTGCCCTGGGCAAGGGCTACCACCCCGGCTGCTTCTCCTGCGCCGCCTGCGGCCGGGCCATCGGCGCCGAGAGCTTCGCCGTGGACGAGCAGAACGAGGTGTACTGCGTGGCTGACTTTTACAGGTTGGGGAGCACAGAAACAGGGGAGCATCCCCCACTTTGGGGGGGGTTCGGCTCATCCCCATCACCCCGCAGGACTCACGCCACCCTGGTTTGCTCCCATCAGGAAATACGCCGTGGTTTGCAGCGCCTGCAAGCACCCCATCGTCCCCCGCGAGGACAAGGACACCTACAAGATCGAGTGCCTGGGACGCAGTTTCCACGAGAGCTGCTACTGCTGCGAGGTACGGCCCCCCCAAAAGCAAAGGGGTTTGGCACCGAGTCTTTGCAAAGAATGGCCACAGGGCTCGCAGCACCCGGGGTTATTTTTTAGCCACCAGTTTATCTTGCAAGCGACAGGGAGGGGGAAAAACAAATAAATCAAGTGAAAAGGACGATGCGTTCGGCCAGGAGAGCTTCAGCTTTTCACGCTTTTGATGTTGTTTGCTGCTTCTTCCGAGTGCTGGTGGGTTTTGCAGGAAAGATGGGATGCAATGGCACGGTGTCTCACATGCAGTGCAGCACAGGGATCCCTAAAGCATAGCCTCCCTTTCCCCTCTTGCCCCCAGAGCTGCGGGACGCCCCTGTCGCCGGAGCCGACGGAGAACGGGTGCTACCCCCTAAACGCACGCCCACCCCCGTCGAAAGTCCTGCCACGTCCGCCGGCGAAACGAGTCGTCCTGCTAAAACCCCACGGCTCGACCTCCATCTTCCAGCGCCGGACACCAAAAAGGGGGTGCATTCACCGGGATGCACCCTGCAGCCAGCCCCAGGTGCCCGTTGCACCCCTAAATAACTGCAGGACCGGAGTTTTTGTCACCAAAATGTACCCGGATCCCCGTCCTGCCAGGCTGGCCAGGCGAAGCGCAGAGGTAGTGTCCTGGCATGGCTCTGCGCTCGTTACGAACATAAAAAGGCCTGGCAGAGCAGCGGTGGCGGAGGAGCTGAGGTTTCGTTCACTTACTTCTTTTTTTAAATCCCTTTTCCGTGGCCGGTTTGGTTTCCTTGGGTGTTTTTTCTTTCTTCTTGAGCTTCCTTGGGGTTTTACTTAAACATTTCTCTCTGCGGTGACACAGAGAACGGGCACTGATTTAGTTACTCGCAGTTAAATAAAACCCCGAGTTTAAAAACCCTCGTTTCTTTCATCCACCCTGCATTCCAAACCCATAAAATGCAAGTTTAAAAATAAGAAAAAAAGCCACTTCTAAGATTTTATAGGCGTGGCAAGAGTCGGGTCGCTCAGGGCGATAACACGGCTGATTTTGGGGTGCAGCAATTTGGCAGATGCCGCTGTCACCCCGGGGGAGAGCAGAGGGTCGTTTTTTGGGGCCCGATTCGGGATTTTGCGATGTGCTGTGGTGTTGATGAAAGGGTGTTTGGTGGTGGTTTTATTTTTTTGCAGACAGCCTGCTCTGCCTGGGCTCCATCTCAACCAACTCCTGGAGCCGGCAGAGGGCAGCCGGAGCACAAATTCCCCCATTCAGGCAGAAAAACTCCGGCTAAATGCTGTCTCCTATATCCGACAGCACTGGGATGCCAGGAAAGACCGACAGCCCCATTTTTGCATGTTATCCAAGATAATATCGCTCCGCCGTTGGAAGCTTTTTGATCTTCTCTCAGTCCAAGCCCCAAACTGTCAGAAATTAGACCATTTCTCTGCGTGCCTGACATCTGTGCAACTGGTGTCACTGGTGCTTAGCGGTTTTTGTTTGCGAGGGCGTTGCAAACCAGCTGGAGAAAGAGGGGTTTTCTTTTTAACCGAAAGTGCTTAAAAAGCCACAAATCAAGAGCAGAAAATAGCAAGAGCATCTGAGATGATGTTTAATGCTTTCCTGATGAAAAAAGGGAGTTGCTAAAAAAAACCCCAACAACCAAACCAGCAGCCATACGTGCGTGCTGTGTTTATGAATGAAAGAGCTAATGTATGGTTAATGTATGCACTGGAGTCCGGCGGGCTGGTTGATTAATCACACCAACCCCGCAACTATTTCCTGCCCACTCTCCCCATCTACAAAGCCTATTGCTCAACGTTCGTAATGTGTGTCTACGGCCCATCAATCAGGTCATAACTCACTATGAACTTATTTATAAATAGGATGTTAATGTAAAGTTGCAGTCTGTCCCGGTCACGTAAGTAGGTGGCTTTGGGTCCGGCTGGGTGGGGACACCGCATACCCCCGTGTCCCGCGCTGGGGAAGTCCCGTGCTCGAAGTCAGCTCTCACTTTCCAAAGCCTCTCGCCCTGTGGGGAAAACCAGGCACCAAAATTATGCTAAAAACATAAAAAGACGTGGGCAGACTTGGCGGTGGCCAAAGGGGGCGGGGAAGGGAAGCCGCAGAGAGCAAAGGGTTGCCCGTTTTTTAGCAATACGGGTATTTTTCCAAGCGAGGTTTTCAGGGAGGATGGAAACACCGATGCCGAGCGGTGTTTTGGATGCGTTACTGCATTGCACGCTGGCTTAAACCCTCTGCGCAGCACCCTTGGGTGCTCAGAGAGCTATGCTACCCCTCCGCAGAGCTAATGGTGGGAAGGGGTCGGGTATTTCCCCCGCAGAGCAAGCCAGGATGGGCTGTTAGCACCGGGACTGTGGTGATTTTCGGCCGGAGGCAGGCAGGGAAACGTTTTTATCGACATAAAGCCTTGGAGAAAATGCTGAAAGGTGAGGAGAAGGGCAAGGTGCAACTGGAGAGTTTAGCGGTGCGGCGAAGGGATGCTGAAGTGGTCAGATTTGGCATATTTTTCCAGGAACGGAGGATGACAAGGGACAGGGATGAATGGACACGGAGGTAAGAGGATAAAAGACTGATTTAAGCCATTTTCTTCTCAGATAAGGGGAGAAGCATTACGAGCTGAGGCGCAGGGACCGTCGCTAAGCCTGAAAAGCACGGCCCCGCATTTTCCCCCGGGAGGATCTTGAGGAATTTCTAGCACCGGCCAAGCTGCGTGGAGGAGATTGTGCAGGGGTGGGGCTGCGGGAGCTGGGTCCCATCCTGCTGCCAAGCAAGCTCACGTTGGCTGCGACGGCTCAGCCCGTCCTCGGGCTCCTCACCCCATTGCAAGCGCTTTTGCAGGCGCCCAGGTCTGCTAGCAAAAATATAATAAATACAAATCATGCACAGAGCAATATGAAGCTCTTGTTCTCCTTGGGAGCCCCCCAAAGCTTTGCAGAGACCCCCCGAGACCACCCAGGCATAAAACTTGCTCGAGGTCTCTCTCGTCTCCTTCCAGTGGCGGTGCAAAAGGGCAAAGAGGATCATACGCCTCCGAATTGCACCAGCCAGGCCCTGCCCTTCTCTGGGCTGCTGCAATAAGCCCGTCTTTTCTTGCAATCCCTCTTGGCAGGCCAAGGAGAGCGGGGAGGGACCTGGCTGCCCTCCAAGGAGAAGCAAATGCAAATATTTCTTCACTTCAGGCTGGGTGCGGCCCGGGGATAAAATTTCCCTGGGCTTTCCCAGTGAAGGAATCCGATACCGTACCCCGCTGCGAGCCCAATTTGCTCCCAGGAATACAACGAAAGGTTATCTTTCTTGCAACGCAAAGGACCGCCTGATTTTTAAAAAGAGCTTTTAAATTAAGGGAGGAGCTGACAGGCACGGCCGTAGTATTTTTAAATCAGTGGCCGAAGTGTTGCTTTGTAACAAATAAGGCTTTTTTTCAGGTTTTGTTTGCAAGCCAAAGATTTTGGCGCAGCAGAAGGAAAGTGAGCCCGTAAAGGGAAACGAGCCTTCTCCGGCACCCCCCCCCCCCCCCAGGTCAGCCGTGAGAAATGCAAAAAACAGAGAGGGAGAGATGAGCTGGATTCCTCGCATGCCTTTGCTCTGCCATCACTGCCTTCAAGGTGCCGGGAAGGAGCCGGCTGCGGAGAGGGGAACGCTGCAGGAGGGGAAACTGAGGCTGAAGCAGCCGCCGGGGCTTTGCTGGCTGGAAAAGGTGCTGGGAGGAGGGTTGGGTGCTTATTGCTGCTGATGTTTTGTTTTGTTTTGTTTTTCCAAATGGGATGGAGAGAGCTAGAGGAAAACTGGGTTTTGGTCGACCCAGGTTAATCGCAACCGTACCCAGCTGGTTTGCTGCAGCGTCATCCTTCCCCGCAGAGCGTTCAGACCCGTTTTCTGCACTTTCCTGTCTTCAGCACAACCTAAAAAACTAACATTTCTTAAATGAAAAGTGGTCTGATCCTGCTGGCTAAGGGAGAGGGGGGAAACAAGCTGGGATTACTGTGGGAGCAGCCTAAGCCCTGAATTTCTCCAGCTTCATTATGCAGCACAGGCAGGGTGTATAAAAAAACCCAAACAATATTCTCCTTTTTTCCCACTTTCCCCACAAAACTGAAACACCCAGCACCACAATACATTTTTAAAGCACACCGTGTTTTCGATAACATGAGGTGAAATTGATGCAGCGTTTACGCAAGCGTGTTACCAGGCTGCAAGTGATACACTGGGTTATTTAAAAAAAAAAAAGAGGAAAAAAAAAAAACAACCCACCCCATTTCTGAAAATAGATGCACAGCACACGCCTGCAAGTGGGGCTTTGACATTTTATATCCCAGCTTTCCTTCATCGTATCAGCAGCGATTACAGCATCCTGCAGCCCTATTTCCCGAAAATTAACAATTTTGCCCAGACCTGGCTTCAAGCAGCTTACATCACATCTTTATTTTGCTGGAGTGTCTATTAGAGCCCATAGGTGAGGGGTTTTATTAAAAAAAAAGGCCATTTTTTTTCTCAAGAAAAAAATGCCGTTTTAAAGGTGGCTTATTGACCTCGGTGATTTACCACTGGGAAAAAAGCTGGAAGGAGGAGGAGGGGGGAATAGCTCCTAAAAATTAATAAATCCCTTAATTCTCCGTGCGGCTAAACTTTCCCTCACAGCCCAGCCGGAGGATGTATAAAAAAACCCAAACAATATTCTCCTTTTTCCCCACTTTCCCCACAAAACTGAGACACCCAGCACCACAATACATTTTTAAAGCACACCGATGAGATACTTTAATCTCATCGGATTGCTTCGTCCGAGGCTAAGGCGATCGGCGCTTTAAGGGCACCACGTTTTCGCGGAGAAAGAGAGAAGTAAGCAAGAAAAGGGAGGGTATTTGCCTGACAAAAGGGGGAGGAGGAGGCCGGGGGCTGCCCCTC